AATAAATAAATAAATAAATATTAAAAAAGAAAAAAAAGAATTGTCCTGACATAACATGAGTGTGCATGAATCACTATAATATGATGTCTTTAACTCAGGAAGATACCTAGAAGGGGGATAGCTGGGTCAAATGGAATTTCTAGTTGTATTTTTAAAAAATGTATTTAGTACAGGTTCTACAGGATCTCACTATGTAGATCAGACTCATAGTGAGTCTCCTGTTTTCAGCCTCCCAAGTGCCAGGATTATAGGCACACACCACACCCAGTCTCAGTCGCCCTCTTAGCGCGCCCTGGAGTGGGGCTGGCATGGCACACCGGGGGTCGAACCCCGGCCACTGCATCTGCTTAAGCAGGTGCTTTAGTCCCCTGCACTATCTGGCCAGCCCTTTCTAGCTGTAGTTTTTTGAAGAATCTCCATGCTAATTTCCATAGTGGTTGTACTAGTTTATATTCTTACCAACAGTGTAGAAGGGCTCCTTTTCCCCCATAGCCTCATCAGCACTGGTTATTATTTGACTTCTTGATGATAGCCATTCTTCCTGGAGTAAGATGGAATCTCAGTGTTGTTTTATTTTGCATTTCTTTAATAGCCAGAGATAGCAAACCCTTTCTCCTGTGTTTATTGACCATTTGTTCTTCTGAGAAGTATCTACTCATTTTGCTAGACCATTAGGAGGGCTCTTCTAAGCGTTTTCTGCTTTTCTCTGCTAAACCGGCCATGATATCTGAGTCCCTGTTGCAAACCTGTGAGTAAATACATAATAGCTCACTTCTATTGAGAATATCTTGCTTTATGACCAGGGTTCTGGGCAGGAAACATAGCTTATGGTCCTCTGAATTTTCCTCTTCCAAACCTAGAACCTCTGCCCTATGAGCAAACTGAGACAAGGATGATGAGAGCCCTAATATTCTCAGCTTGTCAAGGTATGGGTGGAGCATATGCCCAACTAGTGGGACTGGCATAGAGAAAGGGCCCATTCAATCTTTGGGCTCACAAGAAGCTCAGCTTTTATAACTTGAGGTTGTGAAGGGGAGGGAGAGCTAAGCTTGCTTCTCCAGTGAAATAGCATCTCCCGTAAGAGCTAAGCAGAGGGGGCTCATTTTCTTGGCCACACTCTTCCGAATGGGAGCTTCAATCACTGCTCTATGAGAGGGGAGGGAATGAGTGGGTCATGGCTGAAATGCCACACATCTTGCTTCTTACTGAGATTTAGTAGATTTTCCTGAATGTTTCTTCATTACTTTGTATATGCTTTGGGCTAATGTCCTGATACTTTGACCAACTGGCTTTGAAAAAATTTTGAACAATTGTTTCCTGATGATTTGCTCTATGGGGCTCCTCATGCTACTGTTCCAGATGTAGAGATTGGGCATAGATTTCAGAAAGTTTATTCTGGGGGCCGGGGAGATGGCTCAGTAGAATAAGTGTTTGCCTGGCAAGTGCAAGGGCCTGAATTCAATCCCCAGTTCTGCAAAATAAATAAATAAATAAAATAAATCATCTACTTACCATTTAAAAGAAAAGAAAGTTTATTCTGAATCTCAAGGGTTCAGAAGACATTAGAATTGTATTCTAGGCCCCTCTTGGGATTATTTGGATTAATGTGATACTCAGGCAATAGTAAATACCTCCTGTATCTAAGTGCCTCGTTGTAATTGCCTATCTGGGGACATCAAGTGGCAGGGAGAAGGTACCAGCCCAGCTAGGACTCTCCTAAGCCTATGGAATTGCTCCAAAGCTAAAGAAAAGGAATGCCTTGTATTTGAAATGCTTGATGTTCATTGAGAGTAGTGGGGAGAGCAGACAGGAAAGGAACACACACACAAGAAATGTGGTTTAAGGATCTCTCGTGTTTCTGCCATGTCCCTGCCCACACAAAATAATGAACAACCCAGAAAACTGTCCTCCCAATCTGGCCCCAGAGGTCGACTTTCTTCCCCCCCACCCCATGTCTGTAGGATCTTCTTTTCAATTTCCTTCCCAGATGGGAGTGTCCAGCCTAAGACAACACTATCTTCCCCCACCCCATCCTCCACAATTACACTTAGCAAAGGCATTGGATTAAGAAGTTCTGTTTCCCACTCCTTACCACCACAGCTGGAATGCAGACCTACCACTGGACAACCTGCTACCATCCTTGGGCACATGAAAATTTCCTGGGAAATTTTATAAAATCCTAGTGCCTCAGCTCCAAACTAGTTGATCTAAATGAACCAAATCTGAATCTGTTAGTGTAAGTTGTGTATTGGTCATTTTGCCCTAACTGATTCTAATGTAGAGGCAGTGCTACAAAGCTGGTATAGGAAATGAAAGGTACCTCACATGAAGGTGATGGGGGTGAGCTGGAAGAGGCCCTGAGATGCTCCTGTTGTTGTCATTAGTCTCCTAGCACCTCAAAGGCAAATAGCCCACAGAATTCTCCCAGGAAACCAAAACTGCTCAAACTTTGTGCCTGCAAACATCATCTCTTTATTTTATTTATTTATTTATTTATTTATTTGTTTATTTGTGGAACCAAGGATTGAACACAGGCCCTTGTGCTTGCCAGGGAAGTGCTTATTCTACTGAGCCATCTCCCCAGCCCCTATTTTATTTATTTATTTATTTATTTATTTATTTATTTATTTATTTATTGGATACAGGGTCTTGCTATGCAGCTAAGACTTCTGATCCTTCTGTCTCAGCCTCCCCAGTTCTGGGATTACTGCCATGCACCACCATGCCTGGTTTCGATGGTCAGCTCGGTGTGGGACTGGCATGGCATGTGGCACCAGGAAATGAAGCTGAGTCCTTGCGCTTGCCAGGCAGGTGCTTAGACTGCCAAGCTATCTCCCCGACCCCTCATCACTTTATTTTAATTTGGAATCAGTTGCTGAGGCCCCACCTGAGGCAGAAAGGCAGCATGCCTTGCTAGGTTTGAAGGTGCATGACAGGATTGCTGGCTCCTGGTAGCTGGGGCTGGGGGGTATGTGGGCTCCTCTCAGTAGGTCTCTGTGATCTTAGGGGTTCTTATCTTCTCCTCCAGTTTTCCCAAGAAAATACCTAGGAAGTCAGGTTCAGTGGGGAAAAAGGGATAAGAAATGGGCAGTGAGGTCAAATATGACCAGATTTGGCCCTGTAGCCTCAGAAACCCCCTGATGACAAGCTCGGGGGCATTCCTCTTAAGGAGGGGTAGAATTCAGATGGCAGTAAGGTGCTGCGGTGATAGCTCAGTAGAATAAGCGCTTACCTGGCAAGCGCAAGGGCCTGAGTTCAATCCTCGGTTCTGGCATACCCCCCCAGAAAAAACCAAAAGTAGTCCTGCTAATTCTTCCTACTCAGTGGACCTCACCAGAGCCCGCTGGCAAAGGAACCTAGGAAATGTAGTCTGCAGAGTGAACCCTCAGAAGGCTAAGCAGATGGCAGTAAGATAAACAATCAAACAACAGTTATTGCTTTCTTCCTTTAGTAAAAAGTCAAAAGAAAAACTTAGGAAAATATTGGCAACAGAAGTAAAAGGTCACTATGCTAATAAGTTTTAATGATTAATAAGAAAAAATAAAATTTGCAAAGAATAATGAATAAACAAGTAACTCCCAGAAGAGAAAAACACTGACTGTTAAGTGTTTAACCCAGCTGGGAATGGTGGAGGCACACATCTGGATTCCAGTCCTCTGGGCCGCTAAGGTAGGAGGATCCTAAGTTAGAGTAGACCCTGAGCAACTTAGCAACTTTATGGAGCCCCTGTCTCAGAATTTTATTCTTTTTTTTTTCCCGGAACCGGGGATTGAACTCAGGCCCTTGCACTTGCCAGACAAGTGCTTATTCTACTGAGCCATCTCCCTGGCCCTCAAAATTTTAAAGGGTGTGGAAATGTAATTCAGTGAGAAGGCCCTGGGTTCAACCTGCATTACCGTAAAAAAAAAAAAAAAAAAAAAAAAAAAAAAAAAAATTAACCTTTACTAATCAAAGAGTCACATTAGGACACCATTTCCACTATCAACTTAGGAAGCAATTATTTAAAATCATAATATCTGGTGCTAGGATGGTTTGAATAGTGCTCTTAAAAAATAGCAATGTGTAGATCGTGCTTCCTGTCTAACTGGGTCTCACTCCCTGCGTGGCTTCGCTCCCGGGAAGCAGATGCCATGACGCCCATTTTCCCTGAGGCAGAAACTAACGCCCAGAGGTCAATGAACTGTCCCAAAGCCACACTGCTGGCTTGTGGTGGGGCAGCCACACCTGCTTCACAGCAGGCCGAAGGGCCAGTGAGTTTAAAACCTCTTTGGAGATCCACCTCGACAACTAGAAAACACGTATTCCCTTTCACCCAGTCATTCTACTTCCGGGAACCCATCCCCAACCACCAGCCTGGGGCCGTTTTGCTCTCCGCAGCAGCAGGTGAGCACATCCTTTGAGGCTGGGCTGTGGGAACGTCACAATGTACAGTTGGGGTGTGGGGTGACAACTGCGCTAGCTCATAATGTATCGCTAAATGAAAAGATGCAGATATGTATATACGGTGTGTGTGTTGAGCTGTATTTTTAGTTCCCACACTGTATTTTTCTGTCTTCCACTTCTGTAGTAAGAACAGGCGCCGCCAGGCGCGGGGCTGCGGATCCAAAGCAGTGGCCCAGGCGACTGGGGCGGCGTGTCAGCTCCGAGCAGCCGCGGGGTGGTGGCGGGCAGGGCTCTGGGGGACTCCGGGCTTTTGGTCTCTCCAGCGAGTGAGGCGACGAGACCTCTGCGGCCCAGGAGGGCTCGGTAGGTTCCTGGCATCCTGGCGGTCGCAGCCCCCAGCAGAGGCAGCACCCCCAGGGGAACAGCGGGTGGCGCCCCAGGCCGGCCCGGCCGAAGGCTCTGGCGCAAAGTCGCAGCCTCGTCTAGGGCTGGGCGCCTGGGCTATGCCGGGGCGCGAACAGGGATCCCAGACCCTGAAGGGAACGAGTGGAGAGCAGCGCAGCCTGGCTCTGGGAGGCGGGCAGAGAAAATCTTCCAGCGGGTCGCCCAGAGTGACCTCGAGACCAAGCATTCCAGGTAGGTGGGGCTGGTGGGGACCCTCGCCCGGAAGGAGGTGGCCGGGTGCTTTCATCCAGCCCCGCTCACCCGGGCCCGCGCCGACTCCAGCGCCACCTCCCTCTCTGAGTGGTCGAGGAACCACTCCCAGCTGTTCGCAGCGGCGGTGGGCAACGTGGAGTGGCTGCGGTTCTGTCTGAACCAGGATCGCGGGGAAATCCGGAGCGACCGAAAGGTAAGGCCTTGGGAGATGAGGAGGGAGTAAGTCCACAGTCGTTTTGTCATCGGCTCCCTCCCCAACTTCCCCTTCTAGGAGACCCCTCTTGGGACAGAGAGGCAGGGAGAGCTGAGGGCACACACCAGGAGCTTTGGAAGGGGTGTACCCACCCAGGGCACTGCGAGAAGGGAGAGCCCCATCGCTGGTGGTGGGCCATGGGGCCAGCTGCTCAGCCTTCTCCTGCCCCACTCTGCCGCAGGGGTTCACTGCCATCCACTTCGCAGCCCAGCGGGGCAAGCTAGCATGCCTGAAGGTCCTGGTAGAGGAGTACAAGTTTCCTGTGGACCTGCCCACCAGCAGTGGCCAGACGCCCCTCCATCTTGTCATCCACAAAGACAACAAGACCATGGCTGTGCTCTGTATCCACTACTTGCTCAAGAAGGGGGCCCCCATCAACATGTGAGTGCAGCCTGCTCCAGAAGCTACGCCTGGAGCATGCCTAGACAGGAACTCTGCTCCCAGGCAGGCAGCCCTGTGCAGGACAGGCAGAGGAGCTGAGGGGCGGGGTCATGTCCAGGCAAAGTAGTGAGTAAGCTATATACTGCAGGGGGTAAGAAATAAGGCTCTGGAAGAGGACAGACCCAGTTCACGACCTGGATTTGCCACTTGCTAGGACAGTGGAACCTTAGGCAAGTCACCTAGCCTCCAAGCCTCAGTCTTCTGGTTTCCAAATCCATGCGGACATTGGAATCTCCTGGGAGCTTCCAAAATACCAATGGCCGCGTTCCATTTGAAGGCTGTGATTCAATGGATCTGTAGCACATCCTGGGCTTTGGAAGCTGAAAAAGATTCCTGCATGTTTATCATTGCAAACCACTGGCAGTGCCTCCATCTGGGATTTGGGAGGATGGCAGTACATGTCACATGGCACTGCTGTGATAACTAAGAAAAGTGCATGGCTGTAAGAGACTGTGTTCATTCAAAATATCTACTGAGCACGTACCATGTGTACTAAGTACTATTCCAGAACTGGAGGGTACAGCAGCGAATATATAGAAATATTCCCTGCCTTGTAAAGCTAACATTCCAGTGCAGGCATAGACAGTAAATTACTAAACTAAGAAGTGAATGAAGGCTGGGGATATAGCTCGGTGGCATAAGTGCCTGCGTGGCAAGAACAAGGTCCCTAGTTCAATCCCCAGTACTACATGCTGTGTTGGCCCCAGAACTCTGGGCATGCCTTGTAATTCCAGCACTTGAGGGGTTGAGACAGAAGGATTACTATGAGCTCAAGACCAGCTACAAAAGTGAGCACAGGGCCAGCCCAAACTACGTAGCAAGACCCTGTATCAAAAAAAAAAAAAAAAAAAAAAAAAAGGAGTAAATGAATTCTGACAAATCATGGTTCCAAAAGAAAAATAAACAAGGTGATGGGATGGGAGCAAGGGGGCAGGAGGAGATATTTAAATTGGAATTTGGAGACTATAATGCAAAGAGCCAGGGAGATGTGTTGCAGGCAAATGGGGCATCGTATGCAAAGGGCATGTTTGGGAAGGAGAGTGGCAGCCAAAGGATGGGGTCCAGGAAGAGGGAGGGTCCAGCTCCCTATGGGCCTTGGCAAGGCATGGGAAGAGCTATTTAAGAACAGATGTGGGGCCAGGGAGATAGCTTAGTAGAATAAGTGCTTGTCTGGCAAGCACAAGGGCCTGAGTCCAATCCCCGGTTTCACAAAAAAAAAAAAAAAAAAGAAGAAGAACAGATGAGGTTAGTGGCTTCTGGCCCAACCCCAGTCTCCTTCCAGCACATCTTACATCACCTACCTCCTACAGTAAGATTTTTCTCTTACTATTTTCATTTAGTCCAATCCCTCTCTGTAAAAACTTGAAGTCCAGTGAGGACAACAGACACAGCCAGGGTCACCCAGTGAACTGGTGGCACTGAGGGGTTTGGAAGCTGGTTTGTCCACCTATCTGATGAGCAATGTTTCTGTCCTTCCTTTTTTGCCCTTTTCCTTCCTGGTGGGGCCCTCCAGTCCGACACGCAACGGCTCCACAGCCCTGCACCTGGCAGGCCGTGAGGGCTTGCTGGGCTGCCTGAAGGTTCTGGTGCAGCATGGTGCCAATGTCCACGCCCAAGATGCCAGAGGCTGCAAGCCCATCGACTACTGCAAAATATGGAACCACCGTGCCTGTGCCCGGTGAGAGAGTGAGGGCCACCTGAAGCCTGCCAGCCACCCCCTTTCCCAGTCCTCTCTCACTCCTTCCCCAGGGCCCTCACCCAAGGCTGGGTCCGGGTAACCAGACCACAAAGGGACAAACCTGCTGAGGAAGACCTCTGCCTAGGATATTACTGGCAGGGTTTTGCCAGGCCTTGCTCCTTTATGTTAAAAACTGTTCTCCTTTGCTACCCTGGGGCCCCTGGCTCCTCAGCAGGTCAGTAACTTGGCCAGGTCATCACGTTCCTCTTTCCCCTCAAAGTATATAGTTAGCCAAAAGGGCCTGACAGTGAGATGGGTCATCCTGCTCATCCCTACCCCAGCCACCCCACCCACCCCACCCAGGTGCTCAGCGTTCCCTGGTCTTCCCGTCCCATGGAAGCTCAGTCTCTATAGGATGACATGCCCTTCCCTTGGTGCCAGGTTCTTGAAGGATGCCATGTGGAAACGAGACAAGAAGGACTTTGCTTGTGAGATGTGGAAACTGAAGCGCCTCATGGAACACCTGACACTCATGGAGCACAACTACCTGCTTAAGTATCAAGTAAGGGGGCATGGGCAGGGCCAGGCAGGAGCTACTATGCAGGCTTGGTGGAGCGAGGGCAACTAGAGCACTCATAGCCAGAAAGAGCCACCCACTCCCCTGGACTCTGCTAAGATTCCTCCCTTATAAGCCACTTCTTCAGGTCATAAGTATTGTCCTATGTCAAAAGCAAACACAGCAAATCAACAAATCATCATAAGCCCAGTGCACTGCCCTGCTTCAGGATGATAATCTGCAATAAGACCAGACCCCATCCATCACATTATGGTTAAAAAGAAAAAGCAAGGCCAGGCAAGGTGGTACATGCTTATAATCCCAGCACTCCAGGAGGCTGAGGCAGAAGGGTTGCAAGTTGGAGCCTAGCCTGGGCAACTTTGTGACTTAGTGAGACCTTCTCTCAAAATTAAAAACAAAATAAGATAAAAAAGTACTGGGGATGTAGATTAGTGAGAAGGTTCTGGATTCAACCCCCAATACTGGGAGATAATAAGATTTGTCCTTCTTCCCAGCACTCGGCACACACTCATCTGCCAGAGAAGCACGGTGTGGCCCCCACTCCTGCTGCTTTGAGACTAGTAAGGAAGCAGGTTAAGGAAGCAGGTTACATTCCCACAGGGGTCTAGAAGATGCAGGAAGTGATTCTTAGGAGTCTCTGAAGATGGGAAGCCTTTGGCCATGGAAAGAAGTAGGGAGAGGCTGGCGCAGCAGAGGGAATAGCTGCCCGCAAAGGCATGGGAGCACATGGAAACACAGTATACACAGAGAACAGATGGGGACCAGATGTGAGTGGAGACTGACAAATTAGATTTGGCAGGGGTCCAGAGCAACAAAGAACTCTGGGAGAGAGGAGCTTTGAAGGAGGTATAATTACATAAGATGCAAAACCCAGAAAGATGCTGGGATCCTAAGTAGATCGCTACATGGGAAAGGCTTCAGGGCTCCTCCACTGTGCCACTCCACAGCTCATTCCTCACTGTCTGTGTCACTCAGTCCTCATAGCCACACAAAGGTCCAGAGAAGGCAGAGCCCACCTGTTTCCTGTGGTTCTATCCCTTCCCAGAAGCCCCCTGTAGACCTCCATTCAGGGAATCTCCTGTTGGCCTCAATCATGTGTCCATTCTTGATCCAGTGACTAGCACAAAGGAAAGATATCTGCTGATTGACTTAGGTGCAGGGCAAGGCTGATGGAATTATGATGATTGGCTTAGCCTAATCAGAGCCACCCCCGAAGCTGGGTCAATCTCCAAAGCATCTGATTGCTTAGCAACAGTCCCAGGCTAAGACACTGAGATAAACAGGGTGGGGAGGTTCTGGAACAGATGAAAGGTTCAGTTCCAGTGGAGGCAGGCCAGTGCTCAGAAGTCACGGCCTTCCATGACTAGGCCCACTAGGTCGAAGCAACCTGCCCAGATTCTCTCTACCCAAATCTAGGCCATCCAAACCCTTCTAGTGTGTCTTTCTGGGGCTTCCCTTCTCATGTGTCTGTTTCCCGGATTAAAGCAGAGAATCACAGCAGGATGTATCAGACTAGGCATTCCGCGGGAGGGAACTTTTCTCCCATAAGGTGTATTTTGCTTAGGGGGGAGATTGTGTCTCCCTGCTCGAGCTGGAGGCTTCCCTAGCTCAGAGGCTGTTTTCCCCCATCGGAGTGAGGCTTCCCTATAGAAAAACCTTTATCTCCTCCTTAGTCCAGCAGCTCCCTCAGGGTCACAGCTGTCTCCTCCATCAGACCAAGATAGGTGTTCCTCTCATCAAACTTAGATATTCCCTGAAGCAAGGACAGGGTCTTACCAGTTAGGCCAGAGATTTGGAGGCCTGCAGCCACAAGGCCTCGTTCCACGCATGCGCAGAGGCGGCCCTCCACCACTACTGTGTGTCTTTTGTTGTAGAAAGAACATCAACTTCTGACAGAGGCCAATTTCAGGAAGTGGCTCCATGGCAAGCTGCCATCCACGGTCTCCAGCACCAAGCAAGAGGCTTGCCCTAGTGCTCTCTCTGAGATCTCAGGATCCCAGATTTCCAGAAGCTTCTACCACCGCAAGGAGGCCAGCCTGCAAAGCCAGCCTCGGCCTAAGGTGCCACCCGAGGCAATCTACAGGCAGCCTAAAATCAGTCAGCCCACGTTGTGGACTTCCAGCAATGACCCTGCCAGGTCCTACCCCCGTGTCATCAGCTGCCTACAGCCCATTCCTCTGCGTGTTGGTCCAAACCCCCGCCAGGAACACGACTTCTGCAATTTCCTGGAGATCTCTCCAGACCCACATGGTGGTGCACAGCTGCGTACGGTAGATGGCCACTGGGTGGTGCCTGTACCCCAGCTCCCTTTCGAGGTGATGATCCGCATGCTGCACCCAGGGGTGAAGCCATACAGGATGAAGGTGCCCCAGGGGTTTTATGTCAAGAGCATACTGGATGTACCCCAGAGGCGGCACTTGGACCAGAACACCTTTTGGACAGACACCATGGCCATGAACCTACGTGAGACATTTGATGAGGCCTTCCTGGCAGCCATACGAGCTCATCAAGGGCTTTCTGCCTTGCCCTCCTCCACCACCCCCCTGTAAAGGTATCCTGGTAGTGCCTAGAATGAAACTACCCACTGAAGGCTGGCATGGTGATTCATGGTGTGGAGGAAAGGGGGAGGCTTGCCTATGAGCTTCCAAGCCCCAAGCTTCATGACAGGATCACTCTATCTTCCCCCAAAACCTAGACCCCAGGCCTCCTCTCTGCAAAATATCTTAACTCTCCCAGAGAATCCAATAAGGCAGAGCCCTGAGGTTCAGACTGGGTGCCATCATTATTCTAACAATGTAAAAGTGACACTGGTTCCCCACTGCCTTCTTACTTCTACCCCAGCCCACCAAGAACAAGGCTTCTGGGATGAAGGGACCCCTGGAAATTCTGTCTCATTCAAATTAAGTTCTTTACTGTTGTAGGCTGCAAGCCTTACCTCCCTCCCAATTATGGTACTAAAGATTGAACTCTGGGCCTTCAAACTGAGCTATAACCCCAACCTCTTTTGTTTTGATTGGGTGGTGGGTATTTGAGAAAAAGATCTCACTGAGTAACTAAACTGCCAAAGCCAGACTCTACTCAGGATTCCCCTGCCTCAGCCTCCCGGAGTGCTGAGATCAAGGTGTGTGCCATCATCCTCACCATTCATCTGCAGATCCAGAGTGGTTGAAGGAAAGCTATTATGTCACCCCAGCATGCAGTTCCCTGCTAATATGGATCACCAGCCCTTACTACCAGCAGCCACTGGTTTCCACCACTCAGGGGAGCGCAGGTAGCACATCTGGGGAGAGGTAAGATCCGCAGTTTCGATATGAGACTACAGAAGCACCCATACTTCTTTTACGAAGCCTTCCGGGGTCCCCTGCAATTCCCTCATATAAATTACAGTTCAATCATTAAACAAACATTTATTGAGTGCTTTCTATGTGCCAGGTGCCAAACCAGGCACTGATGATACAAAAATTCAACGACAGTCCTTGCCCTCAAGGAGCTTACAGTCTAGGGGGGAGAGAGATTATAAAGCAGGCAAATAAGCCCAAAATGATCTGTGCTGGGGCTAGGGCGGAGGGGACATTCAGAGCTTCTTGAAGGAAGTAAAATCCAAGATAAGACTTGACAGAGAAAGTACCAGAATGAGTGAAGGGGAATCAACGTGGTGAGCGCAAGCCATGGTGTGTCCGTCCACAGGAGGCGGGGGCCCAAGTAGAAGAGGATGATGAGACGGGAGGTGAGCAGGGGCCAGGCTACCAGGAGACTCACATGTTAAGGGGTCTGGACTTCATCCGAAAGGCAATGAGGAGCTACGGAAGGTTTGAGGCCAGGGAGTGACTTGATCGACTGCATCTGAAAGACAACTCTGGCTGGCTGTGGGACAGAAGCAACAGGGGACTACCAGAACAAAGCAGGCAAAAGCTGATGATGATGAGGGTGCTCAAACGAAGAGATGTCAAGAAAATGGATTTGATCATTTTTAGAGTTCAGATGTAGGGATAGAAAGGGAAAATTTGAGAGCAAGCGTCCTGTCTCCTGAGTGGTGCAAGGGCCTAGGCAGGTACCCAAAAGGGGAGGCCGCCTGGCAGAGGACAGTAAGGGGTACCATGTCTGAGGTGTCTATGGACCCAGAAGGCAGCAGAACTGATGCAGAAGATTGGGAGAGGCAGGCGACTGCAGGGAGCACTCGGTTCCTCAGCAGAGTCCCTGAAGCCATCAGCATGGAGCAGCTTCCCAGGGAGCCCACAATAGAACACTGCAAGCCAGTGTGCATGGAGCAAGCAGAGAAACCTAAGAAAGGGAGACTGAAAGGAGCAGCTAGAGATGGAGCAACAGCCACAGAAGAGCCAGGGAAGCACAACTGCAGAAGCAAGCAGGACAAGCGGGTCAGCTGCTGCTCAGATCCAGCAGGGTAGTCTGCAGAATCAGCTGGATTTCATGTGTGAAGGCCCTGGCTGTCCCTGACAGCAGCAGAGTGAACAGAAAAGTTAAAAAAAGCTACCTCATCAGGGGAAGGAACCAAGTGGATGGCAAAGGAGATGAGGACCAGCTGCCTTTCCACTGGGGAGGGTACTGTCCTCCTGTCCCCTACTTGGTCCACGGAGCAGAAAAGGGCCTGGCAATTTTACTCACACCCAAAGACCAAACGTGCCGTCCTCCCAGGGAAAGCAGAAGGGCGAAGCGGTGCTCTTACGAGCACAGAAATGCTAAAGCCAAGGAAATAAAGGGGTATGATGAGACTTCAAGCAGTGAAATAAAGACGCTCGAGCACGGGGGTCTTGCCAGTGACTTAAAGCGCACCGGGGGACAGTGCATCCTGCACCTGCCAGCCTCACTGTGAGGTATAGGACGCGGCCAGCGAGGGCGCTCGTGGGGACTTCATGCCGATGTGCACTGGTGAGCATGGCAAGGCACTAGGGTTGGAGCACAAGATAACGCCTGCTGGCCTGCGCCTCAGCCTGGGCCTGCCTTCTCGGAAGGCGGAGATCTCCCCCGGAGTGAGGAGCGCACAGAACAGAGTGCCAGACCTTGTGTGCTCTAAAGAGTGACAAAAAGCCTCTCCCAACCAACCTTGTTTCATAAAAAAAGTCTAAGCCCAGGCTGCCTGGAAGCTTATTTTTTTTAAGCCTGAGATAGAATTTCAGCCAGTAAGTACTCCTTTTCCTCAGAGGAAGACTTATAAATAGAATACTGTGGATGTTCTGAAAAATCTAACCCAATCCTCAATTGTCTCCTACTCCCTGCCTGCATGGCACAGAGCCTTGGGAGAAGAAGAGATGGAAGAGGGAGGTACATAAGAAAGGCTGCTGCTGCCCCTGGCCTCCACGCCCACCCGGCTCTGCTCATGTCTGCCCCCTCCCTCTAAAGACAAGATCCCTCAAGAAAGGCAAGACTCGGACCCAGGAGAGGAGTTCCTGGAACAGAAAGCTAGTCCAGTTGAGGCAGAAAGTTAGCAGGAAGAAGGAAGATGAACTTTTGGGATATTAAGGCAAACAGTGCCACCTAGAATCTTTATTCAAACGGGAATCAGCAAATGGACAAAAATCACAGTTCAACAGCAAAAACCATTTCTCTTGGAAGTGCCAAGCTGTGTCCCCTCCCTATGGTCATCTGCCCAGGGAACTTTTCACTGGCTGTTCTCTAGCTTCATGGACCCTGCCCTGCCTCCCCTGGCTGAGCCTGAATCTCCCAACCCACCTCGGGAGGGGGAGAGGAGGCTGAGGAACTAGGCCACCTGGCTAAGCAGGCTTTGCCACCTCCCTGGAGCCCTGTGAGGTTATGGCCCCTGGCAATATCAGATCTGAGCCAAGCTGAGCCCCCAAGGAGGGTGAGGATGGGGCTTCAGGACCAAGGGGAGGGAAGCCAGGGCTGGTGGAAGGTGTCTTCCAGGCTCCTGGCCCCTATCTAGCACAGAGGCCCAGGGGCCTGACTTCTGATCCTGCCCCCACATTCCCTCCCCCAGGGGGTCAGTATATCTTCTGACGACTGGGCAGGATGGCCTCTTTGATGAAGGAAAAGACAACCAGGATCCCTAAGCGTTTTCCCCGCTTGCCTTTGGTGAAGTAATTGGAGACCACATCATCTGTGGAGACACAGGCAGGCAGATGGGCGTATGAGATGAGTGCATGTGTGTACCCCATTCCCAGCCCCAGCCCCAGCCCCCATCTCACCACAAGGCTGGGCTCCAGCTCCCTCAGATGACTGGCCTTGCAGGTATCCCCTCACCCGGCCCATTACAAACCCCTGCTCACCTCCTGGTTGCATGGTGGAGGGCAGGACGTTCTCCCCCGCTGAAAGTGACACAAAGAACGCGAATGGAATTATCCACAGGCAGAAAGTGAAATAGGCCAGGACCTGGCAACGAGAGAGGCACCAAGAATGGCTGGGTATGGTTGTCAGGGGTCTTGAAGAGCTGACTAAGGGTACACAGAAGGCCTGACCCTCATCTCTACAGAGCCAGGGTATCTCAGAGATAACTCAAGGGCTGACCACATAGCTCAGTGGATTAAAGCATCTGCTTAGACACAGGGGCCAGGAGTTTGATCCCTGGGCCTGCTGTGCCAGCCCCATCCCCGGGGCAAGCTGAGATGGTGTTTGAAATTGGGCATGGTGGCATGCGCCTGTAATCCCAGCACTTGGGAGGCTATAGCCAGAAGGATCACTACAAGTTTGATCTACACAGTGAGACCCTGTACACCCTGTCCTAATATACAAAATTAAATTAAATTAAAATTAAATAAATTTTAAAACAGAGATAACTCAATGGGGAATGGTAGAAGCTAACAATGACTGCCACGCTCTTCAGCAAAGTGTTGTTATTCTTTCCTGGGGCTGCAAACCCAAGGCCTAAGGTCAGAAAAACTGCTGGGAGGAGGAAACACAAGCTGGCCGCCAGAGGGAGCTGGGGCTCAGGGTTTTAGCCTGCCTCGGCCTGGGAGGTCTGTGTCTGAAAGGGCCTGCGCAATGTTTTTTCTGGCCTCAGGATAACACCATTTGGGACCCAAAAATTTTACAAGGGGAAAGCAGTGTGTACCTCAGTCTAAAGGATCTTTTCTGTTCCTTAGTCATACGGCTTTCAAAAATCATATCACATTTTATTTCACTCAGGATGTGATCTCTGAGTGGACTCAGTTTCAGACCATGGCTGAAATTATAATGCAAACAGGCTGAGGCCCTATTATTCCTCTGTCCCCAGGACTAGCTGCATGTGCTGGATGCTTCTTACCTCTGAAAAAGGATAATATTCTTCTGCAAAAAACTGAAATGCTAAATAATGATTCACCACCACTAGTCCTGTTAAGGGAATGAAGAGTTGGTCAGTTTGAGGGTAGGACACACAGCTAGGCTTCACAATGTCAACTGGCTCTGGAACTAGGAGCCCTCACATCTTACTCTTGACTTTGCAACCAAAACAAGAGCATGGCTTTGGGCCAGTACACAATCATCTAGAACCAGTTCCGCATCTAGCAAGATAGGAGAATCAGCTCCAGCCTGCTCACTGAGGAGGGCAAAATGCGTAAAACTAGACAGTAGGAAAGAAAGCTATGGAATGTTATAAAACTGAGACTTCGATGTTACTTAATCCAAAACATCATAACCATGAGCTAGTTTTTACCGAACATGAGTCCTAAAGCAGGCTCTCTCAGCCAGATGTGGGGGTGCTTATAATCCTGACACTATACGAGGTTGAGGCAGGGGGAATCACAAGTTCAAGGCCAGCCTGGGCAACTCAGGGGGACCCCGTCTCAATCAATAAACAGCTCTCCCATGAGCAGTAATGGAGGAAGTCATGGGTATATAAACCACTCCAAACTGGGCCATGGGAAAAGCTGCCTCAAATACAGGGACATAGCTGTAGATACTCTATACATCCTGCTGTAAGTACAGTCTAGGATGCTTGAGAATATGGAGTGGGCTCTTTCCCCTTCCTGCCTGATGGTAAGGCAAGCAGTTTGAACTGATATAGTTTGATCTTGGTCCCACACATACCTCCTCAGAGTGCAACTGAGGGTAAGAAAAAGCAAGCAACAGATCTGAGGGACAGGCTGCTCAGAGGCAGGTGTCCTTGCCTGTTTCATGACAGTGAAATGCAAGCATCAGAAAGAATGTGTTCCTTGAAACTGCACCCCTCACACATACACACCTCTTTTCTCCCCTCTTGCCTCTCTCCTTCTAAAGCAAAGACAACACCTCTGGTAGGTTTAGCCACAGGCAGAGGCTAAGGGATACCAGAAAGCAGGGGCCACTAGATCTTTCAGAAAAGCTCCCTCAGGAATCTAAGTGCCAGGCTGAAGAAATAGCAAAAGGAAGCCAGGGAGCTGGCCACCAGTAAACAGAAGGGGTCTCCCTAAGATGAATGTAGAAGGGGCCTGGCCACTCCTACAAAACCCACTTTTGTAGTACTAGGGATTGAACCAGGGCTTTGACCCTGCTAAGAAAATGCACTACCACTATGCCATACCTCTAGCCCTTTCTATTTTGAAACGGGTCCTTGCTGAGTTGCCCATGCTGGTTCCAAACTTGTGATCCTCATGCCTCAACCTCCCAAATAGGTAGGATAACAGACATGTATCACCGTGCCTAGTCCTGCTTAAAAAACTGTACGGTGAAATCACAACAAAGCATTCAGGGAAAAAACTTAGTTCTGGGGGAACTACCCGCTCAGGCCCCCCTCCTGTCCCTCTCTCGGGACAGGAACTTTCTTTCTCTCAATAAATATATTCTGCTCATAACTTCCGTTTGTTCCTAAAATTCATTCTTATCATTTTGGAATTTCCCACCGAGATCACAGGACGGAAGTATGAGTTTGCTTTTCTTTCATAAATTCTGAATTGGGACTTGCTTAGGTAACAAATTTTTATGCTTCAAATGTTAATATGTCTTTGCCCATTGCTCATAATTGTTCATATTTTGCCTCATACAGTTTTGCCTACTTGCTTTCCTATTTGATATTGGTTTCTTTTTTTTTTTTTTTTGAGGAACCAGGGATTGAACTCATGCCCTTGCTCTTGCCAGGCAAGCGCTTATTCTACTGAGCCATCTCCCCGGCCCTTAGCCATCTCCCCAGCCCTTCCCATTTGATATTGGATTTAATCAATTTTACCTGAGCAATGGTGCTTGTAATCTCATTGGTTGACCATAGTTTTGTCCCACCTCATGCCCAACTAAGCAGTTCCCATGTCTTCTCCACCACCTTACACCCGCCTCACCACATGGTTTTCCTCTATAAAAGTCCCTGCAAGAGACAACTTCCTGGGGAACTACCCACTTGGGCCCCCCTCCTGTCCCTCTCTTGGGACAGGAGCTTTCTTTTTCTCAATAAATATATTCTGCTCATAAAAGAAAAGACTTGGGGCTGGAGAGATGGCTCAGTGGTCTAAAGCACCTACTTGAAACAAGCTTGGCAAAGCACAGGGACCGCGGTTCGATCCCCAGCACCACATGCCAGCCAGACCCGCCCCCTGGTGGGCTGAGCTGGCCACACACACACACAATAAATAAATGTAATAAATAAAAATAAATAAATATTAAATAAAAGAAAAGACTTAGTCCTAGTTTTAACACTAGGCCTTCTGTGTGGATATTCTCTCTCTATGCCCTCCTACAAGAATAAAGAAGTAGCTCCATTACACCTCTATTTGATATCCTGACTCAAGGCTAGGAAACCCAGTAACGAATAGCAGGAAAACCAGTAAACCTTGTGACCAAATACTTTTTGAAACCGTCTCGGTACACACATGGAGGCACTTATAATCACCTACTATGTGCCAACTGAGTATCCCAACAGTCCTTTCAGAAACATCCCCTCAGAACAGACTGAGCAGCTAAGGCCAAGATAGTGGACTCCCAAAGTCAGGAGTGGTGACAGAGCAAAGGCCAGAAGCCTGGAGTCCTCAATCTAAGGCAGCTGTAACCACTGACAGTGGAACCAGAAAAAGGAGCCCCATGGGGCTCGAGCACCAGGCCATGGCTGCAGTCTCCCAGCAGCCTGACAGGCTCCAGGTTTGATCATGACGGTGGGCCCAAGGGCTGGATAGAAGCTGTCCACCTGCCGAGGAAGAGCTTTGGGCTTTTGGGGCCAATGGGTTTTCTTTCAGGCTGGCATTACTCAATCAGGCCTCTGCCTCCACCAACCCATAACCTATTTTCTCTTCTCAAATCCTTTAAACTTCCCTGTTTAGGAAAGTCCTCCCAACCTGAGCTCCCACCCCTCAAAAATTCTAGGCACTGTGGCCAAGGTGGGCTCTACGGTCCTCATGAGTGAGAAGCCTGTATTACAAACCTCCTAGAGTTCATCAGTGGCCCACCTCCTCTCCCCTTCAGTACCCAGGACTGAGCTAAGCACATACAACCACAGGAGCTGCTCCCTCCCCACTCTGCCCCTTCTCACCGCACGACAGGATGAAGTTAGGCGAGGTCAGCATGATGAAGGGGAAGGTCTGGAGGAGGCCAAAGTAGACGAGGTTGGTGAAGAGGCCCACACCAATCATGCTGGTGGGAAAGCACTCAAAGACGTACAGGCCAATCAGCACAGCCGTGGAGAACTGAAACAACCAACACAGTGCACAGAGCCCTTCTAGGCCACTGCCCAGACTCCCTCAGCCCGCCTGCTCTGGGTCGCACTGGGTTCATGCTTCAATCTCATTTCACAGTGCCTAGCCTGGGTCTCCCACCTAGATTCTCAGCTGCCAAAGGACAGCATCTTTAAATGCCAATTCTCAAAATATTTTGACAAGCAGCTCACAGTAAGGAAAATATTTCACACAACCAACCCAAGAGATATGTGCAGCTGGCAGAAATCTATCTACCTGGGGCTGGGGAGATGGCTCACTGAAGTAAGCAAGTGCAAGGACCTGAGTTCAATCCCCAGTTAAAAAAAAAAAAAAAAAAAAAAAAGAAAGAAAAAAAATGAAATCTATCTACCAGCAGTCACTCCTTGACTGGAGTCTTGGGCCCTTGACTTTAATGACAATGACATCTTTATGAACAGAAGCCTCCCCTGAGGTCAGGGAAGGGCAGGGTCAGGGCCAAGGGAGGTGCACCCCTTATGAAAAATTCATAACTTGAAATAGAAAGAGGACAAAGAGGAAGCATTAGAAACTGTCCTTAGGTTCCACTAAATTCTAAGTGCTGAGAGCAGGGCAAGAGGCGAAAGCCAGGGAGAAACAACCAAGCAAAGACAAAGTCAAGGGCCTGTCAAGAACCTACGGTATGCTGTCACTTTAAGCAACTGAGAACAAGGTTTGCAGGGAAGCAGTGCCACTCAGGAAAGGGCTGGAAAGACCTGGGCCCAGGAATGCAGACCCCAAAGGCTGAGCACAGGGCGGGCAGGTAGACGTGACACCCTCAGGCAACAGCAGAGCCAGGGTTCTCACCACCCAGGCCAAGCTCTCCCTACCTTCTGTTCTGAGACAGAGCAAGGTAACCCTGGGGAAAGGTGCCACTTACCCAGATCATGTACTTTATGATTCTGCTGGTGGCCACTGTGTATTCCTCTATCAGTTCTGCCAGGTAGTAAAGTCCAGCGGCTGGGGGATGTCAAAAAAGCAAGCAGGGGGAATTATCAAATGAGCTCACTGCTACCACCCAGTCATTCCCAGCAACCCGTGTGGTGCCCTTATTCCTCTGGAGAAGAGGAACTTTACCGGGGCAAAATGAATGGAAGCTTGGAGTTGACTCCTCAGCACAATGCTCACCTCTGGGCCAGAAAGCGTATTTCACCCACTTATTCAATAAATACTTGTGGGTTACTTAGTATGGGGCAGGTACTGGGTTGAGTGGTGAAAATACAGCAGAACAAGATGTACAAGGTCCTTCCCCCAACCCAGCAGGAAGGAGGAGGAGAGCAGAAGCGGACAGCTGGGCGATCCCCGTAGGAGAATTACTTTAGGACAAGTATAGGGCACTGCCGCACCAGCAAATCTCTACGGAGGGCTTCCCGGAGGAGGAGACCTCAATTGCGATGGAGCAGGCAGCAGCCTGGAGTGGGGGAAGTGTCAAAGGCAGAGAGCAGCAAGTACAAAGGCCCAGAGGGGACGCCAGTGGGTGTCGGGGAAAGTTCGCGCGGTGCGGTGGGCCCGCGAGCGAGGGAGGGGTTGGCAGTTCGCGGGGGTGCGGGTCGCTCAGGGCACTTAAGTCACCCTTGCCCAGGCGCAGCTGGGCGGACTTTGTGACATCTGGCAGAACCCGGACAGGCGAAGCTGCCGAGCACAACAGCAAGGGCAGGACGTGGCAGGCCGGGAGGTGAAGCCAGAGGCCGCCGCGCTGGGATCCCCTCGACTCTCTCCGGACATCCCGCGAAGCGACCCCGGGCAAGCACAGATGCCGGGGCGGGAGCCTGCGCGGGCCAGGGTCGCGCACTCTCACCGACGGCCAGCGTGATGAAGCCCACTTGGATGAAGAGCGACAGCCAGCTCAGCACGTACATGAACCACATGGTGCCCCCACCCAGCCCGCCCCCGGCCGCCGGGACGGGCCTCCGCTCTTCGGCTCCGGCGACACGGAGCCGCCACAGCCACCGCCACCGCCACCGCCGCCGTGTACCCGCCCCGCCGACGGACGAGTGCGCAGCGCCGACGAGAGGAGCCCGGCCCGAGTGCCGCTCCGTGCTGCGTACGCACTGGCGCCTCCTGCCGGCGCGGAGGTCCCAGTCTCTAGTTCCAGCGAGTGGACGGCGGGCCGCTGCCGCGGTACAGGAGACACCAAGCCGAGACGAAAACCAGGCGTCCCTACAGCGGCTTGGAGTACAGGTTTACACTGAGCTCTCTCTTGCCCTCGCAGGTAACAGGCACAAAGTTATTGAATGCGTATCATGTGTCATGAGCTATGCTAAAAGCCAGGCTCTATCTATGGAAGAAATTGATCAGTTGATGATCATTTTCTGCATCGGAAGCTGGGGCCAAAAGATGTCACAAAAGCCAAGCATTCAGGAGTTGGGATGACTTTAATTGGTCACCTTCAGGCCTAGCTCTCCCTCTCGGCTGAGCTCTTCTTGGGGTACCTTCTATCCTATAACGCCCGCCCAGCGCTGGGTTCGCAGGGCGCCCACTAGGCGGCGACTGCGCTTAACTACTATTCTGGGAGAGTTAGGAGCGCACGGAAAGGCACCGCCGCCCTTGTTAAGAAGTCCCCCATCTAGTGGCCAGGACAAGCACTTTTTTTTTTTTTAAGTGTGAGTAGTGGTATTTTTGTGTGTTTATCTCAGAATCATATTTTTGATGCATAAAAATAAATGCCTATTATTTAAAAAAATCATTGGATTACAAATGGGCAAGCAATTCCACTCTGGGTGTACTCCTGTAAGCAACAACATTTGCACAACAATGTTCATAGCAGCATCATTCAGAAGCGACAAAAAAGTGGAAACAACACAAATGTCTATGGATGAATTACAGGACAAACAATGTAGCCCATACATACAATAAATATTATTTAGCCTTAAGAATAAATTAAATTCTGACGCATGCTACAACATGGATGAACCTTGAAGATATATCAATTAAAAAAGTCAATTATGTGAAGGATGAAACTTGAAGAAATAACGCAAAATAAAGAAGCCAAATTCTATATGGATTCATTCATATGAAGTATCTGAAATCATTAAAATTATAAAGATAAAAAGTAAGGGGCTGGGGGGGGGCTGGAGAGATGGCTCCGTGGTCTAAAGCACCTACTTAGAACAAGCTTGGCAAAGCACAGGGACCGCTGAAACCAGGCATGGTGGTGCATGCTTGTAATCCCAGGGCTGGGAGGCTGTGACAGGAGGATCACTATGATTCTGAACTGTGTAGTGAGACCCTGTGCCAAATTCATAGATTTAAAAAAAAAAAAAGGTAAAAAGTAGGATGGGGCTGGGGAAATAGCTCAGCAACATAAACGCCTGCCTGGAAAGATCCTGAGTTCGACTTCTGGAACAAATAAAAAAAGAAAGTAAGATGCTGGTTGCCCAGGGTTGGGTACAGTGACTAAGGAGACTTTTTATTATTATTATTATTATTTTAGGGAAAAGTGTTCAGGGTCTCACTACTAGATTGGACTCATAGTGATCTGTCTGTTTACAGCCTCCCAAGTGCTGGGATTACAGGTGCGCCACCATGCCCAGTCTCAATTGCCGTTTCAACATGCCTCAGGGGCGGGGCCAGCAGAGCAGGCCGAGGGATGAACCCCGGGCCCCTGCATCTGCTTGCAGGTGCTTTAATCCGCTGAGTTATTTGGCTGGCCTTGAAAATATGTTTGCTTAGTGGATACAGAGTTTCAATTCAGTAAGATAAAGAAGTTCTAGAGATGATTGATGATGATGGCACAGAACACCATGAATGCGCTTAATGCTACTGAATTGTGTGGTTAAAATGCTAAGTTTTCTATTATGTATAGTTTACCACAGTGAAAATGCATATAACTACAAAACGGAGCATTTACATTGAAATACAAGCATAAACGATTTTAGAAAAACAAATGTGTGCTACCACAATATGTGCTTTACTAATACATAACAATCAAATCTAGTAGAAAATCTAACAATTTCCACAGTGACAAGGCAGGGATGAGTATAAATGACATTTCAAGATATCTTCAAGCATACAATTAAGAGAGCTGCAGCTGCTAACTACTGTGACTCTGCCGCCGCCACTTATGATAGAAGGAAATGTGAAATTCCAGATGAAGTAGAGATGGAAACTTTTGCCTTTGCAAGTTTCCAGGTTCCTTGAATCTGTCTCCTGAGTTCTATAACTGCCGACTTCTAAGACATCTCTAGCGCCCCAGTTAATAATTCCTGAGAGATGTTTAAGGGCAGTGGACCCTTAAAAGATCCTTTTATTTATTTATGAAGCTCTTTATTTCAGCTCTGTGAGAGACTGAATGCAACCTAAATGTTCATTAATAGGAAACTGGTTAAGTATATTTTGGTGTATGATAAAAACAGAGTCACATGAGGATGTTCTGTACATGCACATGTAGGACTTTTGATAAAACCAAGAGGATTGGAAGAAAGAATCCACATATATTTCTTTATGTAAAATATCCCTAGGGGGAGAGACCAGCAAGTGCAGGGACCAGGGTTTGATCCCTGGCACCACATACCATACCAGTCTCGCCCCCAGGTGCACTGAGCTGACAACCAAGACCAGGCATGGTGGCACACACCTGTGATCCCAGTGCTGGGGAGGCTGAGACAGGAGGATCACTATGAGTCTGAGCTGTGTAGTGAGACCCTGTACCAAATACATTTTAAAAAATCTCTAGGATATATTAGAAAATAGTATGTAGATCCTGTAAACCTTGTACTAAATACATTTTTAGGGCTGGGGAGATGGCTCAGTGGAATAAGTGCTTCCCTGGCAAGTGCAAGGGCCTGAGTTCAATCCCTGGTTCCGCCAAAAAACAAAACCAAACAAATACATTTTTAAAAATCTTAAAAAAGAAAATAGTAGAGCTGGGGGGGGCGGGTTATAATGCTGTCTGGTAGTGTTTGCCTAGCATGCATGATTTCATCCCCAGCATCAAAATACCCAGATAGTTTGCTTCCTTGAAAGAGAAGGGTCAGGGCTTAAAGAATAGGATAGTACATTCTCATTGTATACATTTTTATAATCTTAAAACACTTTTTACATTTATTTTCCAATTTGATGAAACTATTATAATTCATATTTTGTTTTTCCCACAATAAATCCATTTATAAAAAAAAATCTTAAAACACTGAACTATGGAAATATATTACCTATTCATAAGGTTCAAAATTAAGATGCTCACAGTATACAAGGACTTGCTGAGATGCCTCACTTGTTCTACTACTATAGTCACTTTGTGAGAAAAGCTAGTGATTCCTCAAAGGAAAGAGGGCTAACCTTGGGTCGTGTGTCCTGGTCATCCCTGATTGGGCAGCTGGGGAACTTCGTGCTCAGCACTTTCTATCAGGTGGTTTGTATTTGAGCAACAGAAGCATTGGTGAATAAAGAAACAGTAAACTCTTTTTTTTTTTTTTCCTTCAGTACAGAGGATTAAGCCTAAGGCCTTGGGATTTAATCTTCAGCAACCTGCCCTGACACACACATTTTTTTGAGACAGGTTCTTGCTATTCAGTACAGGCTGGCCTTGAACTCACTTATGTAGCTCATGCAAGCTTCAAACTCACGGTGATCCTCCAGCCTCAGCTTCCTGAGCGCTATGATCACAAGGCATATGCTACCACTCCTGTCTCAGTAAACTCTTAACTAGCTTTTTTTTTTCCTAAATATTTTTCCAAAGAGGGAGGAAACATAAAAGTTTCCCCAACCAGACCTAGAGATATGGTAACTTGAGGTGCCAAAAGACTAGGGGCATTCACCACAGACCAAGCCAGCAAGCGCAGTTATTCCAGGGCTGGACATTTTCACTTCCCCACAGTTTTAGCACCAAAACTGGCCTTGGGAAGGTTAGCTGAGCACTAGAATTTCTGCCAAGACCAAGAAGAGAGAAGCTGCCATTTCCTGGGAGCCATGAGCAGGAGCTAAGAAGGGAAAGCCCCTGCCCCATCTGACCTGACACAGCTCAGTAGGACAGGACGGGACCCAGGATGCTCCTGGGACCAAGCCTAGCAAGGTAGCAGCGTGGGGAGAGTGAGCTCAGGCCTCGGTTCGAGGAGGGTGAGAGGGAGCAGGGGTACCCACATTTAATTGGAGGAGCTTATTTCTAGAGTGAACAGCATTGCAGATTCAAAAGTGACTGGTCAGATTGTAGGCTGGAATACTGGCAGACCGGTGTACGTATATGTACTCGTTCCAATGTTACTCAAACTCCTTTAATTTATACCAATACATTCATGTGTCATTTTGTGGTACTGGGGACCTAACCCAGAGTATTCTACTGCTGAGCTAAATCTCTAACTGTTCAAAACACACACACACACACACACACACACACACACACACATATATACATACAGAGAGAGAGACAGACAGAGAGAGAGAGAGAGAGAGAGAGAGAGAGAGAGAGTCTCAATTGTCCAGGCTGAGCCTGACCTTGTGATCCTTCTCCCTCAGGCTCCCCAAGTAGCTGAGATAACAATTATGTGTCACCATACTGGGCTCATCTGTGACCGTTCAATGCCTGCATGTGTGGGGAATTCCTATACTTGTATAGCTTATGAGGGGAATTTGGGGTAAGCTAGAAATTTCAATATCCTATGAATCTTTTCCACAGGAATAGATAACCAAATCGTTTCTCTGCTTTTTGGCTAAAATCAAGGGCAGAAGACAGTAAATTCTAGCAATTACAGTGTTTTTACTCTGTGCCAGCCACTGTCCTAAGTGATTTGGATGAAATAAGCTATTAAACGCTCACATCTAGTGTAGGAGATGAAAGTTATTATTTTCTCCACCTGAGAGATAAGAAACCAAAGTACAGAGTGGCGCGTTACCGCGTCCACAATCACGCTGCTAATCCTGGGGCAGCCTGGCTCCGGAATCCTCAGGATGCTCTTCAAGTCATATGCCTTCACAATCGGTCTGCTTGTCAAGTGCCTTTCGGCCAGTGGGCTGAGCCCTGCCT